ATTCAACCCTTATAAATGCAGCCGATAACCTTCACTTTGGGAGAAAGAAAAGTGGAGATGCCGCAGTACAGGACGAGCGAAAATGTGAATACATACAACCCCTTTCAATTTCGGTAGGAAACATGCCCTAGCGTATGAGTCAAACAGGTTTTCATTTTCAGCACTCTACTTGACTTATTGTATTGAGGAAACTTTTGGTGTTGAAATTCAAGCCAATCCGTATATACTACTAGGTTGCATGAATATAACAGCATTACCCAGAACAAAGGAAAGCTTTTGACAAATTTTTGTGAAGAACTGTGTTCTATAAACCTATCAATAACGTCCTCGCTGTTGTCATTTGTGGCAAAATTGTGTTCTGTGGCAGGAAAACAGCAATACTTGCTGATCGCTCCTCATGACCCATGCGTTAGACCCAGAAAATAAGGCCAGCACTTAAACCCTGAATAAGCATGTGCTAAAACAAGTATGTGTTGGAACAAATTTGATTTGGTATCTCTTTTGCTACAGCATAAAGGTGTTCAAAATCATGCTGCACACTGACTTTCATCTGGTCCTCCCTATGATTAGCGTTTCGAGCTTCATTCACTGAATGCAATATGATATTGCCCTAGATCAAATGCAGCATATCCGTAATAACACCCACTTTTGTTTTACTTCCAATAATCTAATGCCATGAAACATCCGCAGGAAACAGTTTTCTTTCACGAGAAAGGATGTACCAACATGCTGCTTTGTGTGAAATATTCCTCGACTCTGGCCTGTAAATTTCGAGCTTCAACAAATTTCGTCATGACACTCAAGGACATGCAAATTCAAACGGAGATACAAGAGAACTAAGGACATTGCGGTAGGAAATAAATTCCAAGATAAATACAATTAAACCATTGCTAACCATATAACCGTATGTTATTTGAAAATGAAATGTTTTCTCCAAAGTGCGAATCTTGTTGCATTAATTGGATTAATACATCTAGACTGCTTTTAAAGAAAGAGCTTAATATCGGGGAAATCTCTAATCCAAAGAACGATGGTGTAAATGGTAAAGTAACAAAAATAGAGGTATATAAACGCGTCTGTTCTTGATGGGAGATATGATGGTCAGAAACGACTTCCGGAGTCACATCGTTTCTCATTCTTTTGAGGATTACGTTATTAGCACTATTGTTCTTAAAAGTGAACCTTTCCCAAACAAATTTGCACGCGCTATTTATGCATTGATGTTTTCCTATGCAAATAACTGATAACTTTTGACTCTTGGCAAGCAATGTTTAGTAATCATTTAGATGCTGTCGATAGTCGTCAGGTTGCTCATTGATCACAGGAAAGAGAACAAATCCCCTTAATATTTTTTCTAATTCCAACGAATGAGGAAATTTGTGGGAGAACGCTTTGGCTTCTTACCTAGATAAAATGTTCGTGCAACAATATGCACGTTAGTGGAAGTAACACGGACTTCATTGAAACAGAATATGATAGGAAATTCTGAGTAATGCGAGCTCGAAAGTGCCTAAGATGTCTTGGGGCTCCCATTAAAATAGTAAATCAGCATGAGTTATTGGCTTTTCATCCCCGAGGTGACCTTCCAAGTTTGTTTGAATCCTATTCAAATCTGTTACAAACTAAAACACCAAATCTACCACAAGAAAATACCTGGAAACGGTTGTTATAAGCATTTGTCTAATATACAGAGAGTTCTACGCAACGCAATTTTTTTAGTCAACTAAATAAAGCTATCTAAAAATATATTTTGATCCATTTGCGAGATCGGATTATTAATTTCCACTATTGCTTGTAGATTACAATCGGTGAGTTCCGCTAGGGTGTCTGTATTATCTTTTAACGCTTCCAAAGATATTTGTTGCGTAATACGAATCAAATTGTGTATTACAAGTTCGAGGCCTTATTAGGAAACCCTTGAAACTATATATTTTTGCTCAACAATTGTTTGGTTTACTTGAAAGAATAAAGCAATGCTTTGATTGTTACATAGTAATATACTATGATTTTCGTAGAACGGTATCCATGAGAACTGATTTGTCCCAATCCGTCTTTGTGACTAAAGATAACGAAAACAATCGGGGTAACAAATAGTCTTCGTGTTTTCCGCATTCTAAAAAAGGGAAAGGCCTACCGCAATGATGCTGATAAAATAAGAATCGGACATGTGGTATCCAGATTTGTCGGTCTAATGAAAATAAACGGCCATGCTTCACCACAAACACACGGACCTAGATCGTTCCGAGTAAGCAACCAGGATTATGAAAGTTCGTCTTTCTCCCCAGGAAGCAATACAAACAATTATCTACACCCAAACCTCGGCTAGTAAACCAATCTTCCTCCAATATTATTCAGCTTAGGAACATCGTAAGGTGTTAGGTACGTAAATTTCAAAGCAAAATTATCAAATATATTGCAGACAAATCGTTGGTTGGCATTCGCAATGTCCGATGCACAAAATATGTATTATTCCGGCTTACTCTTTCAAACCCTTGATAGGTTACTACACTGTAAACATGATGGCAACTAGTGAGACATCGCCGATCCAATTAAATTATCCGATTTTCTTCGCCCCAATGTTTCGACGCAATCAGTTCACTAGCCGTGGAATTGACTTCTTGTTTCTCTTTCAATTTTAATGGACACTAGCTATCTGTACTTTTCCGTTCACTAAGATTTACAAATTCAGTGTACTACAAATATACTTATTTGCTTTATGTCAGAAGCTTAACCCAAATGTTACCCACTCGCAACATATGTCTTCTTTGGGCCTTGGTGGAATGGATAAAGGGGACTCAGTGTTTAAAATAATATATATTACTATAGACCACCTAAGCTGACCTCATATGCAGGCCAACCGACGGGCGTCACCTGAATGAGTTAATACTAAAATCGAGAATTGTTTTGCAGAACGCATATATGAGCCATAATTATGACATCGTACGCAACAAACATTCAGTAATATTAGCTGTTTGGACACAATAAGTCACCAACTAAACGGGGATTTTTCCTATCATGTACAAGGAAAAATATTGGTTTATAATTTTATTTCCCATACATATACAGGTTTTCTTATGATAAATATCTTCCGTCAATCTTTGTATTCAGACTCTGATTGTCATTTGTGACACATGTCAGCCGTTTATGGCAACAGGTTATCAAATCGATAAGTCTTCTTTACACTGTACACTGTCTAGGTTGTATCATTATTTTTGGTAAACAGTAGCGACTAAATTCAGTTCTACCGGAAAGAACTCACGAGCGCGATATCATAATGTTTGCTGTTCGTGATTTAATCCAAAGAAGTGCTTCCAGATAAACAAAGTTCTGATTTCTTATTATAATTGTATGACTATAAAAGTAATAGCAACTGACCAAATGATTCGCGTGTCATTGAAATTCCCTTATGAAGGTTTACATCACGTATGGGCCTTATTTCTTCTAACGTGTTTGGAACTTTTTCAGTTGTTTAATCGCCCTTCTTTTTACGTGCAAAAGACGATCTATCATTGATTTTCACACATGTTACCTAAGATCCGATGATTGAGCCTAAACATCACAATCTTTAGTATTAGAACCTCCTTTGTAAAACGAGGAAGACCTTTTTATCCATAACACTGGTGTGAAAAACTGTTTAGGCTGTTTCCCACTAAAGAACGACCTTATCGTCTACAATGGCATCAGACGATCAGTGCAATAATGTTTCGTTTGCTGAGGTTTTGCAAACTTTCTTTTACCACGCTGTAGCCGACCGGATCTCATGCATGATTTAGTCTGTCTTAAAATCAGATTGCTATTTTTCATGCGAACAAGAAATGCGTATGCGCCTAGCGTCATCTAACTCCTTTTCACATCCCACCGATGATTATCGTGCGAACTTTGAAGGAAACCCTGTTCGACCGACTTTCGGACAAATAGAAGCATGTGCCTTTTTTCCTGTTCCGCTATTGAATCAGATAAAACCATGTGAATGTGCCCAGTCTCGGTCTGATGGACCGAATTCGGGGGAACAAATATTGTGTGTCTATTTTAAGGGGCCATTACTTTGCTGGCTTTAATTTTGAGATTGTTGTCACCTATGGTCGGTTTCCAATGGTTTCTTGCTTACCTCTCGCCACTCAGTCGTATCCCGATATAGATATAAAGCGCGGGGATTATAGTGACTTCCCTTTTTTTAGTAGAGTTCTTTCGTTCAGGTGTTTAGAAATTTAGATTAGTTTCTTTTCTCTAGGTTGAAAACATTCCTAATAACCACACAAACGAAGATAAAAATGAACCAACTAAGAAACACACAATCTGTTTCACTTTTCGGTGGGCTATCATTCATGCACACAGTAACATGGAATTACGTCAGAATATCTTGTTAACACATCGGACATTCAGTTTTCGGTCACTGCTGCATAATGTGCATGCACTTTCCAATCCACATTATTAGCTTCAGTTTCAATGTACCCATGAAATAAGTCAAGCGTGAATGAAGGTTGTTATTTTCTACACACTTTCAGCTTATCGCCCCCTATTTTTCCGATATAACCAGAGTCCTTGGGTGTTCCATTTTTTTCTGTGGTCCGTGTTTTAACTTCAAACAAAAGCGCTTTTACTGGAGAGTGTCAGCTAAAATCAGTTACAATCTGAGTTTAGTTTTGGCAAAACAACTCCACCGTAGATGATTGTCTTGCATAATTCGGATATCCCTTTTATAGAGCCCAGGACCAATATTTGTTTCTTTCATTTATGTTATAACCAGTTGGAATTGGCTTGCTTTATAACAGTGAATTAAAATAAACATTCTGATCTGCCATGATTTCTTTCAATTACTCTTTAGCAACGCCAGCCAAATCTCCGAAACGTGTACTGAATTCCGGATCATGTGTCTCGTCATTTTTCAAGCAGTCCTGTCTACGCTATTTGTGTGGTCTTCAATCCTTCTTCACGTCCATGCTCGAAACTCACCGGAATCACGAAACTCAGGAAAAGAATTTGTAAATGAAATACCTCACATGAATACGGCATTTCCAATCACACGTATCTATGTGATACTGCCGGAAGAGTTACCACCAGGTAGCCTGGTAGTTGATCTCAATTCCAATCTCCATGTGAAAAATCTTCAGTCTGCGTTTGAAAGTGGATCCACCCCACTGAGTTTTCAGTATCGACTAATGAATACATTTGACGGTCGCCTATTTCGAGTTGGATCTCATTCGGGGCGCATGACTGTGGCTTCTCGTTTGGATCGAGAGCTGTTATGTGCTAGTCAAAAAGCTCAATTCTGTTGCAATGCGAGAGCATCACTTCCGTCTATACTGATGTCTGATCCCAATTGGAAAGAAGAAAGCGACCCGGTTTCGAAAGGACAGCGATGCCATCTGGTTGCACATGTCAGCATCCAGTCCACAGCACTTCAACACAAAGATGCCGAGAATTCACCTGTACCTAATCAAATGGCTTTGATTTATGTTTATCTGCGATTGGACGATGTGAATGATCACACACCACAATTTACTACTCAGTCTAACAGTTTAAATGTGGCTGAAGATACCCCAGTAAGCACAGTTTTGCAATATTTTCAAATCTCCGACCCTGATGCTGGCATCAACGGTCTCAATCAAGTCAAATTGGATGTGAATCCGCTGACCACAGTCGATCCAAAAACAATTCACGATAATCCGTCTGCCATAAACATGATGAAGAACAACCCATTTGAAGTAAAGCTTTCACGGGATGGAGTTAGTCTTTTACTGGTACACCCTTTGGATCGTGAAATCGTTGCGGCGTATGACGTGGTGTTGACAGCCATCGACGGGGATCGCTTAAAGCCGAGATCAAGTCAACTGAATATAAGAATTCATGTTACCGATGCTAATGATAACGCGCCTGTTTGGATTCAACAATCTGATCAAGGTGATCTATCGTCCAGTTATCATTCAATCATGAATGTCCATGAGGTATCACAGTCCAGCCAGAACACTGTATTTAATGTCACTGTTCCTGAAGGCACACAAGTTGGGGCACTTATCTATTGGCTTCAAGCTAAAGATGCCGACGTGGGCGACAATGCACGTCTGCAATATGCGATTGATACCAGTGCGCCTGGAGGGCTCACAGCTTTGGACTATTTTTCTGTCCAGTCGACCACAGGTGAAGTACGATTGCGTACGCAACTAGACTACGATTCGGCTTCACTACAACTATCGCGGCCTGAAATTGAAGTCCCAGTTATTGTACGTGATTCACCTCGCGTCGGCCGTCAGTTGTCGGCAAAGGCAACATTAGTGGTTCGGATTACCGATGTGAATGACATTTATCCCATCATTATGGTCAGTCCTCTTCAACCTATTCCTTTGCATAACGCTTATTCTGGGAACACTCTTGGCGATGGACATACGCCAGCTTCTTTCGGTGTTTGGGAGAATCGACCACCAGGTCAGCCTATAGCAAGTATATTAGTTAACGATCCAGACACCGGAGATGGAGGAAAAGTTTCATGTTCCGTTCAAAGTGATTTTTTCACCCTAGCCCCGGAATCTGGCAAATCGGAATACTTTCCAAACTACCAATCAGAACAATTCCTCGGGGTCAAAAGTACTCTAGGTGACACAATTACACCATCCAATTCCGGACCGGTTACGTACCATCTTTTGTCCAAACAACATTTAGACCGAGAAGTTGTTCCGAGGCACCAAGTGGTGCTTACCTGTAGAGATCATGACAGATCGCGGCCATTGGTATCCACACAAAGGCTGGATATTGAAGTTCTCGATGAAAACGATAATCCACCGGAATTTTCCAGTTCTCCTATTGTACTCACTTGCCCGGAGAACTCCCCACCGGGACAGGTGATTGGCCGACTGAACGCAACCGATAAAGATGTGGGTGAAAATGCTCGTCTCCGATTCTGGGTTGACGATCGCGATGCCAGTTGGGTCGGAGTGCATGCACAAACAGGTGACGTGCGAGTAAACACTGTTTTCGATAGAGAAACAGAAACAGAACGTGAGTTTGTGGTCTATGTGGCTGATTCGGACGGCTCACAAGGACATACAGCATCCACAACAGTTAAAGTTCGGGTGTTGGATGAAAACGATCATGCGCCACATTTTATCGATTTGTACTTCTTCTCTATTCCGGAAAACAGCCCGCCGGGAACAGAGGTGGGGTACATACGAGCAGAGGATGAAGACGAGGGAGACAATGGTAAAGTAAGTCGAGGAATATGCGAACTCATGTGAAAACAGTGCCGATTCTAGATTGGTTCATCAATCACATAAGATTCAAAACTGAAGAAACCGTAAAATGTGGCCGGAAATATCACTGATGAAAGGTATCTAAAAAACCAACCATCTCGGCTTATCTTTATGGTGATAAATAAATAAATAGTGATATGAAAAATAACAAAGAAACACACTCCATTCGGTTTTTTCGCTTTAGGTAAACAACATGCGAACATTCATGTTATTTTCCATCCATTGCCTCCTCTCTTGGTTCAAGCTGTTCAACAAAAAATCTCACAGGTTACTAGTTGCAATCATCTAAACTTCCACTACCAAGGCCACAACCATTTACAAATAACTTTCAATTAATGAATGTAGACTACTTTTATAATGATGACCAGCATGTTTCACACTATTTATCTCATGCGACGATAGTCTCACAAAACCTGTGCGATTCACACTAGACAAATCCGAATATCTGGTTCGATAACAAGCGATAAAAAAGTAACCCGGTGATTTTAGTTTTACTATCCAACCCTTCATAATACATATATGAGATTACAGTCAACGTGGATGCCTTAGCCGAGGAGGAAAGTAAAGGTCATTGTTCAAGAAGTTAAAGAGAGAGCGTTATTGGAAGGTGGATGATTGAATTATGGGTAAACTCTGAAAGGGTGTATATCCATTAGTAGTCTGCAACGTTATATAACACCAATGACTCAGCCGTCTGCTGTGATCGAGGTCCATTTGGCCATTTTCATCGCTCACAGTAGACCTGGTTGCTAAAAAGCTTCAACCGAAAGCTTCGAGTATTAAAGGTCGGACAGCATTGGTACATGCTGTGGCTAAATCCCACATGGGAACTGCGTTTATTCGAACAGTGGACGTTTGTTGAACAAACTCGATCCTATAAGCAGTCACTCAGATGTCGCAGGATAGATTCTTTTACGGTTCCGCCTTCCCATGAGCTAGTCGATCATAGTACTCGTTCAGACATCCCTAAAGGCTGGCTTCATATGAATCCTTAAAAGCCTAAATGATCACAGTATTGACTTCAAATTGAACGATTTGTCCCTTGTATGCATGCGGACACCCGATGCAAATGCCATCACACAGACTTGAGGTTAATCACCAGAAATATCAAATACACAAATAATACCTTTCATTGAATCAGTCTGTCTTAATAATGGAATTTAACGGAATAATAACTTGTCTAAGATGCTCGCTAATTCCATCATAAATAGTACCAATGGAATACTTTGGTAAAAGCGTTTTCAGATCAGGTTGTTGTTATGTGAAATTTCGTATGTGCAGTTTAGCGAATCGTTAAGGAGCTTGAAAAGGAGGACAAAATCTGAATTGAATTGATATTGCAATGAGCATAAACCAATAAATTTATTGTAAGGTCCAGATTGATTTCTTGTGAATATGGATTGACTCACTTGTTTGCGACGTTGCAAGTAAAATCAATTAAGCGCGTGGTTTTGCTGCGAAATATATCAAGAGGAGAATGCCATGGAACTTGTATATCATACTACACTGCTGTTCCGCTATGCAAAGCATGTCTCCCAAGTGCCGGTTGGAGTGGTTAGAACACTCAACGAGTGATCATAGGTATCCAGTTACTAATTTTGCTATCAATTTTAGCTGGCGAAGTGCGTAGTCCATCTTGTTATAATGCAAACTGCTGGGCCAAGAACATATATAAAAACAAAACACATAATGGTGAAAAAAACTCATTTTCAGTGATTCGTGATTATGCCAATAGATCACAATGCATATGACAATGATTAGGCATAAAATTCACTGTGAAAGAATAACATTTCCCGCCAGATCTGATCTTATCTTGTGACTGGAGTTCAGAATCAGAACGATCTGGGGAGCCTAAGGGTTTGCACAAATTGTTTTGGGGCACACAGTGGGGGCTGTGTACACGACGTCCCACCGCTTCTACTGTGGCTAGCATCCAACATAGAACTGGTCGGGATAGGCAGACGTGAACTCCGATGATGTCCACAGTGTGATTTGTGATTTTCACCTATGTTGAAAATCGGTGTACTGGTGAGTGACTTAATCTTTCCGGTGTTCAGCCAAGCAGGGTGGTGTTCACAAACCCGCTCGGACAGTCGTCCGACCGCATGACCTATGTATGCTGGTCCACGGAAGACGTAAATGCACATTTGAAAAAATATCTCGCATGCCTATTAGTTTAGTACCGAGTAGGCAAACCCACTTTGTGATCAGTGAATTATCACTCTGGTAGTTTAAGCACTTCTACATGAATTGTACTGCCGTTTTGTTTGGTTGACATGTTTTACAACTGTTAGACAGTCCGGAACGGGAGCAAGTATACGACCGGAAGTTTGCATTTATTTGGTAACGTCTCATGTAGGTGAAACTTCGATACGTGAGGGGTACGAAGCAGCAGGATAACTATCCCTGCATGAGTTGTCGATTTCAATGTTTTTGGTAACACTCCGGGAATTGAACTTTCACAAATGATGTTTGTCGAATCAGTGAGAGTATTTTAACCCAAATCTGCAGACGAACACTTCACTAATACGAACAACGTGACTTTGTACTTCAGCATTTTCACAACCAGTCAGTCATAGCCCAACGAAAGAATGAAGCAAAACATCAAACAGATGGAAAAATCTGCTTAAGTTTTTTTTCGTATTTATGTCAATCACCAGGTAGCCTCATAATTGAAAATTTCGATTTACACTTTACTTTAACGAAATGGTTTACAGTGCAATCAAATAGTTCACAGAATAAGCTACCAAAACCCGGAATAACCGGATGTCACAATATCCACTTAATTGCGGCTTAAATTGCGTCCATCACCAAATTCACACTGTTCGCACATTATTGTTTCAATCTATCAATACAGGAGCATGTGAATCACTTATTCTAATGCATTTGAGTGAGTGTGGAAATTTTGATCACAGTGTGTTTCAACTATGAATCTGGATATATGTATTTTGGCACATCATGCTGTAGCCCAGTGGTATATTTCGGTCCATGGGGTCATTCTGTCACCTATCGCCGCGATTTTCAAACAACTCCAAATCAAATCTCGTTCGAGAAGAATTATAAAAGTAATTTTTAATAATTTTATTTCATTAAGGCCTCCAAAATTTAGATTTAATTAAATAGATATTTATTAATTTTTCGTCTCATAGACTAATCTTAGGAGCTAGGTGTGTGGCAACTTATCTGAGTATGGTACATCAAGTGTATGCCTGGCCACTCAGCAGTAACGGCCGTATGTAAGTTGAACTCAGCTCTACTGTAGCTCTAGTGGGAAACACAGTTGTACTAACATACGCTCGCGGTCTGTTTTAGTAGAATGCAATCCAAAGAACCCCCGTGAACAGCAGTTGATAATCACGCCGGAAAGAAGGGGGTGAAGTGAGTGTGTGTGTGGGGGGGGGGTGGTTGGAAGATAGACACTACAACGTCACACTAACCGGAAATCTATTGATCGTCAATCAAATATTCAGTGTTTCGATTGTGTATGAGTCTTTGCACGCGTGCGTAGTCGTGAAGCACGCTTCCCAAACTTGTTGAGGGTTGAACCACAGCCATGAAACTGTATATTCTTTGCAATATCGAGTAGCACTAAAGAATCTAACTGAAGATTCCACGCGCGGAAGGTCTTTCCGTTTTGGGAATGTGTGTAACTGTTCACAATTTATTAGCACAAAACATATGCGAAATTATATACATATATGTAAAGTATATATATATATATATTTAAGGTCCGGAACTTAATGTATTCTTCACCCAAATTTCAAATCATACCAGAGTTATCTATTCACACAAAGTTTGGCTGTTTCACTCAGTTAGCACCATTCTTAGAAAAAATCGGTCAGTAACTTGCATTCACTAAGGCTCAGTTTACCGTGGGAAGGGCCATTTGGATGATTTAAAAAACGTGATTTTAGCTCATACTGTCCAGTTATATCATTTATCCGTGAATGTTTTACTTGAATACCAGATTTCATCCCAATTCCTCATAGCAAAATCGTGTTTCGATCATCCTTTTCGCTCCACAGGTACACTATCTATTACATCCACCAAGTCGCGATTTTGAACTGGATCGGGACAGTGGGAAACTAGCTGTACGATCCTCGGGCTTCGAGGGGATGCGTCCGGTACTGACGGATACCGGGAAACTGCGTGTTTCATTGCTCGATCGTGAACAGCAAGATACGTACGAATTGACCGTGATCGCGGAGGACGGAGGGAATCCACCTCGAAAGGTCACCACTGTGGTACATATAGGCCTGTCGGATGTGAATGATCATGCGCCACAATTTCGTTACCCTACACCACATGGACCGGGAAGCTTGCTCAACGTATCTTGTGCACAGTTGAGCAGTCAACTGATCGCTCGAGTGCACGCGAACGACTCCGACTCCGGAAGGAACGGAGAAGTTGAGTACAGCATTGTTCGTGAACATAGCTATTCCTCACGGATTACGCGGGAAATTTTCAATGAAGATGCAGTGAATGGTACAGCTGTAAAACCTGAGATCAACGTNTACAAGGCACGTGAAATCAGCTCCATCTGCAGATCCACTTCTTGAAGGTCCGACCGCAAACCATTTCGAAATCAATAGCTATAACGGACAACTTTTTCTCATTCATCCAATTATGGATTGCAGTCGACCGGCTGAAATCCGATTACTCATTCGTGCCAAAGACGGTGGGGATCCGCCGCTATCCTCTACTGCCATGCTGACAATTTATGTCAGACCGACAGAGGATCCAATAGACTACGGGGGACTAACTCCCGCAAATGACTACCGGCGCACAGCCCAGACCGGTTCTGTTAAAGACCCCGGTAGCTTGTGGATGAGCAGACCGGATTTGGGGAAGAGAGTACAACATAAGTCAGCAGCATCCTCTTCTGTCGGATCCGTCACTCAGTTCCTATCAAGTTCTTCCCACTGGTCAGCTATTGTAGGTCTTATTGTGGCAATGGTGATCCTGGTGTTACTACTTTGCGTGATGCTGTTTGTGTTGAGGCGGAAGTTCGTCGGGGAGGAACGTAAAATGGTCCGTAAAAGTAAGTTATTGAAGTAAATCCGGATGAAGGTGGGCTGTATTTTTAAATTTTTGGTGCAGAAATCCATTAATTTTTGCACGCTTTAAAAATGAACAAACGAATGGAACCCAAACGCTTGGACAAATAGGTGGACTTCAGGTTTTAACTCTGTCGACCTTTAAATGGGTCGGAACGGGGTTGAACTGATTAGATAACAGAAAGCGTCGGTTGAAAACACCATTAAGAGTGCATCACTGCGAATCTAAATGGAAAATAACGGAAAACCACCTGACTGAACAATACTAACTTTGCTGAGTGATTCTCTCGTATTCCTGTTGTGACAGAGTTGGAATAATTTGTAGAGTGAAAGAATGACAAACCAGTTTATTTGTTCATAAATACGAGTCATAAACTCACGCTTCTAGGTATTTTCAATTTTCAAAGACCGGTTAACCGTAAACGTCTGTTACATTTATAACCCATATTTCAAAACTAAAGGGAGTTAGTAGTAACTCAACCACTCAACAATAGCCCCCTGCTCCCAATCCCCCCTTCTCAAAGAAAAACCTGAAGCATTGTGTTCTTATTAAGGATTGATAATTAGGAAACATTGTATTACTTAAGGGCAAGTAAACGGAATATCCATAGGGTAATAAAAATAATAAGCTTCAAACTGTCGTTTACATATTTATCATGAGGTACCCTACCGCTAGTCAAACATAAACCAACCTTAGTCTTTCTCAGTGTGCTACCCGAATTGCGAATATTTGCTGTTTTTACATCATCACAGTATGAGACGTCTATAGTTTTTTCTATCTATGTTAGTCGAATAGTTTACTTGCTTTGTGTCTTTTCAGTTGGTGAAAAATAGATCATTCTGTTTTACCTAAACTTTCGATCAACTACTCTGGGGCAAGTTGGTTTCTTTGAGCTATTTTCAGGGAAAGAGGTTGTGAAATATTGCAGTGATTCAAAGATTGATTTTAAGCTAAAATGACATCGGATAAGGCAATAACCACAAAACCGGTCGAAGTATCCCAAAAGTATTTTTTCACACGTTCAGATACTGCGACTTGTGCAGTTCGCGTGAATGAGCTTCCGAGAGTAGCTTTTTGTGGTTAGCAGGGAAATCACGCATTGATTCATGGCGATAATTCACGCGTCCACTAAGTAAAAATTGCTTGAAGGAATAAATAATTATAGAGATGGGAATTGTAAAATTCGTTGAAAAACATACCCTAGGCTTAAAAGATATGAACAAGTTAAGAAATTCTCGGATCCGCACACTGGACTAGCGGCAACAACTACGAAATCAGTCATATTTCTCAGCGCTATTTTCTAGTCACTGTGATATCACTCGTCGAACGTCTGATGGACAACGGTTTCACACTTCCGGTAAACACCGATCGATTTACCGTTTACGAAGAACCCCTTCAAGTCTTTAAATTGTGTTCAAGGTTCAATCAAAAAAGGGCTAATTGTTTATTGTAAATCAATATTGATCTATTGGTAAACCAATAGCATTTTGATTAAATGTGCGATAAAGAGTTTTTCTTTGCAGTGTGCCTACTTCAGTTAATAGCTTTCATCCCGATAAGGCATGGGCATAAGTGCTTTAAAAAAGCTGAACAAAACTAGTGAGCTTTTCCGGGAATAAAAGGCTCGAACGATGAATCCAAATTCTTCCATGTTTGATTTTATCTACCGTGAAATGTACGGCATGATCTTTAAGTGCTTGTTCACATCATTTCTCGTTACGCGAGAAAAGACTTGAATACTGATTGTGTTGTGTTCACGGTTTGAACAGACAATGACAAACCACGCCAGTATTAAGCCAACAAGACACGTCTGTGCACCAACATGTCTATTTCTGAGTTCTATTGAAGACCTTTAAGTCACTAGCAGGATAAGTGCTTAATCATTTAACCACGAAATCTTCTGCCAAAATTGTAAACCTCGAGTAATAAAATGGAGAAGGAAAAAAGAACAAGTTGCATTTGGTGTTATATTAAACTCAACGATGGTAAAGTCGTCAAACGCCAGCATTGGCCGAGTTTCAATCGAGGTATATTATGGCCACCATAACTTATAGGCAACAAATCGAATCCCACGACGACAAGACCCGGTACCACTGTCGAAATTTCGGTAACCTACAGGTGGTTTGATGAATTTTAAGGATGTATTTTAATACTAAATGCTGATCGATAATTAACTTTCTTGCTTCCGCGAGTTTCACACACGAGCACGACTTCCAGAATACGGAAAACCCTAAATCATTCTTAGTTTCTATTAGTTTTGTTTGCCTTATTATTGTTTAAGGTTTCTGGTTCCCAATTCTACTGTTTGTTCTTCTAGTCCTAGTAACTGCAAAAAAACAATGAACATCTGCTCACTTTTCCAAGCACGAACAAAACAACTTTCACCTTCCCTGTTTGTTTCTAGTACACTTAAAAACCGTGTAATGTTGTTTTCAATTGTTTCGTTCCGTACACTAACCTTAAACGGAGCACAAACGTTATAACTCAACTAGATTGACCTCATTATGTGAGCAACTTACTTATATGACCTGAAACTGTTCATTTACAAAGTTTGATGGGCACTATCCGTCAGTTTTAACGAACATAAAATTTTACAATGAAACCTTTGGGTTTTTTGACGGATAGATTGCGAAGAACAGTGCATGAACGAACAGGATCACAACCCTGAAAAGTTCATCAATGTACACAATGATCGTAGTGCTTTGTATATCCGATCCTGTTTTGTCCCGCTGTTGGCTTGACAAGTTGAATCAATCACAGCGCTTTTGTTTCTTTGGCACTCTTTTTTGTTATACTTCTTCGTGTATCCTAGTGTAGAAACGACGGATTCCGTGATCACGGAAATAAATTTCTCGGCTGGCAAAACTGGATAACTAAATCCAGGCACTGAAAGTGAAAAACTACATAAGTTTCTCGACGGGCAAGCGTTGTATCGAGTCAGGCAACAGCAAATCTACCAACCGAAAAAGTTGGATTACGATGGCAAAATTCAAACCGGGAATCTTGAAAACCAGGTTAAACTACTCGAGTTTGATCAACATTGATTGTTAAGAACCGTACCCGCTCTCGTTTATTCTGAATTGAGCAATTATTTTAACCTAATCGTCTCCCATTATGTACTCGCCTATGCATTTGACTTGTTTAGAGACCGGCGAACAAATTATAAACTAAGACAGCAACCAACAACCAGAATGAGGAAAAACCAAAAAGGATGAGTGAGATCGAGCTATTCAGAGCTATTCAGACTAGGCATTGTAAACTGGTCAGAAAATAATCCGGTTTCTGTGAGCCTAATGTATTGACTGAGGAAAAATATGACCAACTGACTACCTCCAATATCGCACAGAAAAACCTTCACTATTCATATATTGTTGAGTTCAGAATGATGGCAATTCACCTCAATAATTGTTATCTTGTTTTCAAATGACATTTCTAGGTCAGCAAGCGGAAGAGAGCTCAGGGTTGACGTAATACATCTCTCCTAACAGTTGCAAATCAACATTGCTACCACTAATTAACGTCAATCAGGACCAGTTTTTTGCGTGGCACTTGTGAAACTTCTTACTGTAACTGCCCAAATGATGAACCGTAATCGCATGACCCCGGTTTATCACACCGATGAAATTGCACCTGTCATCAACTCCATGTCCAAGAAGATTGATTATGGTTCTTTAACAAGTGAATTTAAGAACAGATAGGGTTGAATTAAATGATACCTTCAATGGCATGTCGGTGGCCAATTGTCACATCCCAGATGTTGAATAGGACGACATGTGCGGTAGAAGTTTGTTCTGCATGATAGACGTTGTACACCCCTTGTCCCTCCAGCTTTATGACCGTTTGTCTACAAGGCTATACAAAGATCAAAAACTAAACATTTTACTGAGCCGACTAACAATTTTGCCTAGCAACACAAGTTTCGGGAGTCAGATAGCAAGTTCTGAAAGAATACTGTTTATCAACAGCAAGTTTCCAAATGCTACAGAAATATCTACCCTCAATACACAACAATTAGTTTGCTTAAAATATTTGGACATCACTTGCATCTTTAAATGTGCTATCAAAAATAGCACTGATAAACAATCACCCTGTCCTCTCACCTCAAAGATGAATTTTCGAAACTAGATTGTGATTTGTCCTAGGAGACCTCAAACGGTTCTTCGTTTTCCGACAAATTGAGCTTCGACCCAAAAACAAGCATTTCATCAATGTATAGTTCAGGCCACCCACGAAAATCGGAACGGTACTACCCATGCTGTTCCGGAAGTTCAGTGTTGTACAGTCAATTAATTTGGAGTTCACCGATCACATCCGGAGTTAGAATGTGCATTTAGAAAACAATTAAATGGATAATAACTGAGATCAGGTCTACGTCTTATGAGGTTATCTATTTCACACGGCTTTAAGGTATATATATATATGTATTTGAGCATATACGCGCTCATACATTGAACTTTGAATTTGTTGCATGACCTGCTTTTCGGGGTTACTGTTATTATCTGTAAGAGGACAGCATTCCTTACACAGTCATTAGTTATACCAAAATCCAGTAGCTGGAAATGACCTGTATGAGGAAAGCAAACCTGAGGAACGACGAGCTGAACCCATGACGAAGAACAAACTGAATTATATTTGAGTGATTTGTAGATCAATCCTTCAAGGTGATCCCATGGTGCGTGGGTGTTCACCAGTCCGTTGATGAACATTTTCGAAGTAGAGAAATAATTGTGAGCACTATGCGTCAGGTTTACAAAATGTGATCAAATACTTAGTCACGTGTTTCATAAAAACATTACGGAAACCGTAGGTAGCATCTGTATGTATTAAAATAGAATCCGCTGTTGCATTAGGAATATTGGAAAATGAAGTTGCATAGGAATCTATAAAATGCTCAGCACTCTGAAATTTGCTCATACCCGATGTTACAGTAGGTACATTGTGGGAGAAAAAGGGAAATAAAATGGGTTTT